GTAATATTTCAGAAAATGTGGATGGTTGTACATCAACTGAATTTAATTAAAAATTATTGGTTCTCGATATCGTATTAACAGAGTTAATCAATCACCTTTCTTTATACGTACATATTAAATTAGTTCAGCTGTTACTAAGCGGTAACATAACCGTAGCACAAATAATGCGGCATTCCACTTCATTGGCAAAGCCTTGTTACTTATTCAAAACTAGCTTTTACCCGCGGCTTCGCTCGCGTTACAAAAGGATAAAAAGTAGCCTGTGACATAATAATATACTAATACACACAGCGCCATCTATACCAATACTTTTGTTTTCCCTCGGGAATATCATTTTTTTTCCGGGATAAAAGTACCCTATCATTTAATCCGGACTTCTAACTTTACGTCTGCAAAAATTCAAAGCAATCGATTTAGTAGTTACGGTGTGATAGCGGAACAAACAAACAAACTCACTTTCAGATTTATAATATTAGTAAGGATTACTTGCTTGATCGTAGTACGTTGTGGTTTAAAATTAAAACAGTCATGATAGACCGCGAATTTCTTCGACTTTCAACCTTGAAATATTTCTTTATTAGAGTTGAAAATCTATTAATTACCCAGTCAGCGAATAAAAAACTTAACCCAAAAATTGAGTTCCCTAATCACTCGTTTGAAGTTATTTAACTAGCGTTTGTGTCATTGATGTAGTCTAGAGAGTCAAGGCAGAAAGCGTAACGTCCGTGCCCACAAACAAATCACTTTCGCCTTTTTATTAGTACTTAGAATAGTACCCAAATATTCTAATGTTATATTGCAATCTAAGAAGAGTTCAACAAACTCAAGGTCGACATACGAACACGTCGAATGAAAATGAAACGAGCTATCGATTAGCCTAGACTTTAGAAAGTACTAAATAAAGACACTAAATAAATCGCCGAGTTGAACCGTTATAGAAGAAGTGTGTCAGTTGCGACGCGATGCCAGTCGTTCAGTATTGGAATACTATTTACACAATTGTCTATATGTAAATGTTGTATGCTTTTGTATTATGGATGTTATGTAGGTAGAAATTATAAAACTACCATCTATTACTGCGCGGTTTCAACCGCTGTTCGGCTCTTAACGATCCTACCGTCGCGTCGTATCTTATATGTTATAGTCTTCCTTGATGAATGGACTATCTAACACAAAAATAATTATCTAATTCGAACCGATAGTACTGAAGATTAGCGAGTTCAAACAAATAAACAATTTGTCAACTTTATATCTTACTTCCTACTAATATTATAAATGCGAAAGTTTATGAGGATGTATGCGTGTGTATGTGTGTGACTTTTCACACTTAAACGGCTGAAGGGATAAAAAAATATTTCGACCGTTAAATATAATAAAATATGAAAAAAAAAACAATCACACTTTCATTATTTGATTTTATGAACTTATTTTTCTTATTTTTCCAGCAAACTTTTAAGAAATAAGTATGCATTTTGACGCTAAAAAGACGTGACGTCACAATACACAATCTCGTACAATATTAATTGAAAATTGTCTCTTTGACAGTTCGAAAAATGTATTGAATTTGACTAGTCATTAACCGCTTGACTGCCGGTATATAAGACACAATAGAAAATGCATTGTGTCTCGCGTTCACTACTAGTATCTACGTTCCGGCACACGACGGGTTAATTCATAAATCAATTAAATCATCAGTCATACACGCAGCCACAACAAGCCCAGGAACCATGTCATCGAGATGAATTTGGAACAGGGGTAGATTATAATCTGAAACAACACATAGGTTTTGTTTTTATCCTACGGGAAAGCGGTCGAACCAGCTGGCAGAAGCTAGTATTATTATAAGTAGTATTTTTTTTGTAAGGGGGGGGGGGAATCATCGAATGACTTCTCCCGCCTGGGTGAGGCGGAAGAGAGTGTCAGACTCTTACTGACTAAAAATCACCCCGTTCCTTCTCCTGCACTTCGAGCCGGAGCCCCGGTAACCCGTTAGGTTCTCCTCCACACTATAAGTAGTATAGATTTTATTAGTTATGTTAAATCAATTCTTTAAACATTGTTCCACACTACATTGACTGCACGGTTGGCGCGGTGGCTGGGCAACTGGCTGCCGTGCAACGTGTCGCGGGTTCGATTCCCGCACGGAACAACCTTTGTGTGATCCACAGATTGTTGTTCCGGGTCTGGGTGTCATGTGTATGTGATATTGTATGTTTGTAAACGCACCCACGACTTGAGATGGGATTTTACCCGGAAAAAACCCGAACATGGGAAAAAACCGGGAAAAAACCCGGGGAAAATTCCCGAATGGGAAAATATTCGGGTTTTTTCATATTTAACACATGTAACAAATAAGTAATGTGTAGATTATGTACATATCATATAGTACGTACTAGTTAAGAACTGTAACAACAAGTTAGAGCTAATCTAACTTTGTTTATGTTCATATTGCAGTAATAACGTTCTTAATATCCTTAGGGACCTACTATCAAATGAAATAAAATGAAATTAAACAAAAATCCTGTCTGTTTGTGTGTGATCCTCCGCTCTTAGCGACAGGTAACCCGAAAATACGTGAGCGGGTAGAGGGGCAGGGAAGCAGGTAGTAGAGGGGCGAGCGCGTTGGTGATCTATCTATCTCACACGTTGTTTCGGCTTCATACTGTGCGCACTCGTGTTAATTTGTTGGTTTAATTGACGACTTGGATTTTGTTTGGTGGACTTTTGGTTACCTAATCCTTTGAATTGACAACAACTGCTACTCTTACGGACTTTGATACCTACTTTTTTTACGAACGAAATTTACCGGTAAATTTACAGTTTTGTAACTTTTGTAAAGTATAATAAATGATTGTTAGTAAGAGTATCTCTCGTTGTTTTAATTATATTATTTTAGTCAAACATTCTTTAAAGTTTAATAGGTATTTTTTCTGCTGTTAACATTCCATCACAGAGCGCAGTAAAAACTTATTATAAAACAAGAAGACGTCTTTATGGTGTTATAATAAATATGCTGGTTATGTTTTAGTCCTTGAAATAGACTACACATTTTAACGTTTCAAATAACAGACAACAGCTAGTGCCTTATACACGCTGGTGCTAAGTACTACTCTGTCAAGAAAGTACCGGGAAAAGATCAATAATACAAAAAATTTCTGTTATTCATCCAAATTTATTTTATCACCTTTAAACTGTCAAACACCGAGCGGTCGGTGTTTGACAGTTTAAACTGTCACCGGTGACCGCAACCTATTGTTCTTTAATTGTCTGTAATGACGGTACTCAACGAGTTAAAGTATGCTCCTTTAGAGACGATACACTTGCGCCAACGAATAATCTATTCATCAAAACATTTTTTAAACGCTGCTTCCAGAATTGAGTTTAGTTCTCGCCGCGAATTCTCCTTTACGTCTTCTATCGATTGAAAACGGGTGCCACGAAGTGGTAATTTGAGTTTAGGAAAAAGAAAAAAGTCAGCAGGAGCCATATCTGGTGAATATGGTGGTTGCTGGATGGTATTTGTTGAGTGTTTGGTCAAAAATTCGTTCACCTTGATGCCACCAATGATAGCCTTGTGCGAAGGCGCTTTCTCGTGGTGCAAAATCCAAGAATTTTCTTTCCACAAATCTGGCCTTTTTCGTAGAATTTGCTCTCTTCAACGCCGCATAAAGCTCAAATAATATTCTTTATTTACCGTTAGACCTTCCGGTAAGAATTCAGAGTGCACAACAGCGCGATAGTCAAAGAAAACAGTCAACATGACTTTGACTTTTGATCGACTTTGGCGTGGTTTTTTCGGTTTCGGTTCAGTTGGAAGGCGCCACTCCGAAGCTTGTTGACTAGTTTGCATGCCAAACTCATAAACCCACGTCTCGTCACCAGTAACAATGCGTTTCATGAATGTTGGGTCCGAACTGACTCGTTCTAGCATATCCTCAGCGACTTTCATGCGATTGAGATTTTGGAGAAAATTTAGATCTTTTGGAACTAGCCGAGCAGCAACATGTTTCATACCCTTTAATGTATAGTATAGATTAGTTAAAATGGTACGGATCGACTCGTGAGATACAGAAAGTTCGGCGGCTATCTCTCTCAGAGTTGAATGGGGATTTTCAGTCACTATTTCCTTCACTTTTGCGATGTTAACTACAGTTGCAGACCAGAGCGAGGCAAATCTTCCATCACATCTCGACCGCTTTTGAACGCTTTGAACCACTCATAAGCACGAGTTTTTGATAAAGTCGATTCACCGTAAGCTTTCTGTAACATTTTCAGTGACTCCGAACACGAAATTCCATTGGCGATGCAAAATTTAAGACAAACTCTTTGATCGATATTTGTGTCCATTATGAAATTCACAATATACATTATATATGATATTTCTGAAACCAGCACTGTATTTAATATAAATAACAGATGCAACTCAAACTCCGCGCCAAAATGGAAAACAGTTGTGCCAATCTAACAACTACATAAAAACAAAAATTTGAATTTGGAACCATAAACAAATCATCCATTCCCGATACTTTTTTGAGTGAATGTAGGTATATGCGCATCACAAAGTACCTATTTATTTAGTTCTGAAAATAAAAATAGAATAAGATCATTATAAATGAAAATACCCGCCTATTGGGTTTTTTCCCAAATGGGAAAAAACCTGGGTTTTTTCCCTTTGGGTTTTTTCCCAGTGCCCATCTCTACCCACGACACAGGAGAAAATCCTAGTGTGGGGCAACGTTTAAAAAAAAAATATTCTCTTGTGTCTTGGGTACGTTTACAAACACACTACTTCACCTACAAATCACAACTAGACTCGGAACAATTTGTGGATGACACAAAAGAATTTTGTTCCGTGCGACCGATCGCAGAGTCGCCGCGTCAACCAGTCAACATTTTTTTGGCTTCCCTTACGTTCATACAATAGAAACTGCAATTCGTTGGTTTAACTTTAAGTTCCGATTTCCTTGTAACTACGTAGGTTTGCTAAATGCTTATTGTTTTTTTGCTACCACGCTAGTTAGCAACTCTACATTCCGGGAAAATTTTACTGATAAGTCGTTGATTAAAATAAGTGATCATTTATCTTCTTATTATATACCTCTAGGAACGGGCAGTCAACACAAAGCTTATTTCATACTTTTTGGGGACTACACATTAATTACCTATTAATGGTAGTTTAATAACCCGAAATCACGGACAAAACGTAGCCTAGGTAACTATAACATGTAGAAATAAACACATTCAATGCAATAGAAACTGAACTTTATTAACTACGGCATAAAGTTCAAATGTTTGTCAGTTATGCATATTTCATTACCAATAACTATGTTAGATTATTATAATTTGCGATATTATTAGGTAACGTTGCGATATTAGAAGGACATTGCTTATCGAACATACTTTGTAGCGTGTTGTAGATAATAATTGACAATCACCATGTATACGCTCGCTAAATTTAACCTATTATGTTTGTGCATTGGAACACTCTGTTTGTTCACGACCACCTATTGAGGGAATGTGTCAGATTTCAGTCTGCAAGAGAAGTATTGTTTAGAGAGCTCGAGACAAATAAGTATAATGTTGGAAAGCTCCATCATATTTTGTCAACACCTAACTCTAAGGACGCGTATAATTTGATTAAGTTTGTTTTATTGCGTTTTAGTGTATAGTTTACTAACTGTAGTTATATAATTCATTAGATTTATAAGATTTTAAGGTCCGATGGGACTGACATGTACATTTGTATAAAAGTCCCTAAATAAAATAAAGAAAAAAAAAATGTTCACGACATTCTTATCATTTACTTTGCTTATCAAATGAAATTAACCTTTTTGTGAGGTAACTAAGAGTATATTTTGCAATACTTTATCTATATCCTTGTTTTAATCCGGGACACGGAATAGGAATGTTTTCGGTGTTTATCTTGTTTACAATTACAAGGAAGTCAACCAAACATCGCTATAAAATAGCTAAACAGTAACTGGGCTTGTAATTTACTCACTTATTAAGGTGATTTCATACGGCTTTTAGGTAAACCATTGTCAACCAGATGTCTACAAACATTCGGAACATTTTCTGAAATAATCAAATCCGAAAAAACGTTTAAGAGAACCTTCACCTTGAACCTTTCCACCTTTTTGGGGAGTCGGTTAACACGTTAACCGCTGCGTAGGTCACCGGTGACCTACATTAGCGGAGGATTTGATTGCCTTCAGCAGATTTCTGTCCGCAGTCAACCGCTTAAAATGGTGAAAAGATATAACCAGTACTATTTCATAGAGGTGCATTTAATTTATGTACTTTAAAGAATTGTGTATAATAACGGAGACTCAATTATACCCCTCCCCAATCCCTGAATCCCCAACAATTCTCAAAGTTTTAATCCCCAAAGGCCAGCAACGGGTGTTCTATGGGCGGAACCGATTGCCTACCATCAGAAGATCCGTCAGTTCGTTTACCGGCTTATGTTATTACGACTCTCACCTATTCGTAATCCTTTCGGGGATAATTAAGACGATGCCGTTGTTTACATGTTGACAAAACATTTACAGGTTGGATAAAGACGTTTGAGAATTACTACAAGGCGCAAACTCGCGCAATATTTACCAACATGGTGGAGAAATTGTCTGAAGGTGTCGGAAGAAAGTTTATATGGGCTGAGATCAGCTTCTTATCTTTATGGTGGAACAGTGATGCCACTGATAAAGACAAGGCTATATTCACCAAGTAAGTATTGATATTAATATAGTTTTATGATTCGTAGTTTAATAGTGAATATGATGTTAGTCACATGGTTTGCTATGTTTTTATAATAACTATCGTGAGACATATTAAAATAGCGGGTTACTCACGTGAAAATCCTTCCTCATGAGCAGCGTGCGCGGTCACGGATCCTAGTGGCAGAAGGCTGCACGACATCGCCGCGACGGCTCTGTGGTTCGAAACTAGTAGAGCTTTTCTCAGTATTTTCACGTGAGTAACCCTCTATTTTTAGTTAAGTAATTCACACGTTTTATTAGTTGACTGCTTAACAGATAGACAAATATAGCATACTATGATATTTCTTCAGCATATATGTTTTGATGGTTAGTAGAATTATATTGCCAGTGTAATAATACGTATTGGTTTACATTACCATTTTAGGATAGGGTAGATGTCTAATTTTTATTTTAATGTCCGACTAGTAGATTATTTTGAAACATTGATACGTATTTTTAATTTCTTTCTGATGCTGATACTTTCGACTATGTATTGATTTGAAATGTCGCGTGACGTCATTTCTATGTACGTTTTATACGTAGAAATGATGTTTTACCTCCCACTATTAAACTTAATTCGTTTTATTTAAGTACAAACATAACATCACGCTTTTTATCCACGTAAGGGTAGGCAGAGGTGTACATTACGGCTCTTAATGCCACTGTACAATG